GGTTTGGTTTATACCTGTTCTTGTACAGGAAATGGTACCCGGTGATATTTTGCGTGTGAAGCCTGAGGCTATTGTTAAGTCAGTTGTTCCACCTGTTACGGCTCTTACAGATAAAGTTACTTGGAAAATGGAAGCTTTTCAGTGCGCTGACCGACTTCTCGACGACATTTTGTACGTAATCTTTCTACTACCAAAACAGGTCAGGTTAAAGGTAATTTTAAAACTTGGTCCTCTTGACCAGATTGAGAGAAATTTTGGTTCAAAGTCTAAAGGTATATACTCCTAATAGAGGGGAAAGGTCTTTTGTTCCTTTGAGTTGGCGTTCTCGCCCTGTTACTGGTGTGGCTAATTATGTGGCTCAAACTAGTGGTGATGAAATTGTTCGTCATATTCGTTATTCTGATTCTAATCCATCTACAGAAAAGCAGAAACAGTATTATTACTCTGAGACTTTGCCTACGGCTATAAAAATAATGTTGAATCAGGAAATGAAACTTTTTATAAATGTTCTCCTTTGTTTGGTCAGGGTTCTCTTTTTGATTGGCTTGGACTTGAGGCCTAATGGCAATATTGGTGAAAATGGTGAGTTTCGTACCGCTCCTATTTCTATGTATTATATGATTGGTAATTTTTATAAAACTAATCCTGAGTATGAGAAGTATATTGCTCCTCATTTTGATTATGTTTATACAGGTCGTGATAATTCTGAAAATCGTGAGACACTTCATCGTTATGAAACACTTGAAGATGAGTTCGGTAATGAGTTTGAAGAACCTCATCTTTCTAAACGTTGTGTGTTAATGGTTTGCTTGTAGATAATTGGCACTCTGATTATTTTTGCAATACAACGCGTGACCCTCAGAGAGGTATTGCTCCTTCTGTCCCTGTTTCTGTCAATGGCACTGTCCCTGTTCTTGGTGGTGTTAATAAAACTTATGACCATATGTTTACTAATGCGTCTAATGGTCTTTACGGTTCTCCTTCAGGTGGTGGTACTGCCTCTGCTATTATTGCTAGTGCTGACGCAGAAAATGTTTATAATACTATGAATGCCTCTTTTACTATTTCTGACCTTCGTACTGCTCTTGCATTACAGCATTTTCAGGAAGATATTCAGGGGACTTATAAGTGGACATCATTTCTTCAGAGAGTTTTTGGTATTTCTCCAAGTGATACACTTTCAGATTGTCCAATATTTAAAGGTGGTTGTTCAGGGTGTTCTTTCTAGTTCCGAAGTCCTTCAGACTGTAGAAACTAATGAGGGCAGTCTTGGTGACATTGGCGGACATTTATCGGGTTATGGTTCAGGTAAAATGATTACTTGTAAGGCTAGTGAACATTCTTGGTTTATGGTTCTTATGACTATTAAGGTCCGAAAGAAATTATGAATCAGGTATTGAAAGACAGTTTACACGTAAGAATTATCTTGATATGTATTTTCCTGAGTTCGTAGGTATTGGTAATCAGGCAATTAGAGCAGATGAGATTTTTTCTGTTTGGGGTAGTGTTCCTCGTGATAAGAATATTGCTTTTACTGACCGTTACGGAGAAATGAAACATAAATATAATCGTGTTGTTGGAAAGTGTCGTAATGATAATATGATTTCTAGGGCTAATTTCTGCTACTAGTGGTTATGATGTTGTTAGACCTAGGTCCTTTGTTTAATCTTCGTGAGTTAGGTTTTAATGTTCCATATTTGAATGACTTCCATCCTTATGCTATCGGTGACGCATATTGTACAGGTGTCGAGTTGGGGTTTGTCAGAGGAGCATGACTCTGCTCTTGTAATTTAGTGAAATTAATCAGGATTTCTTATTGTGTACACCTCAGTTGAATGTTATTTTTGTAAGTGATGAGGAAGAAGCCTTTTATGGTTGTTCTTGGTTTTAATATGGATATGTTTAGACCGCTTCCTGTATATACTAAGCCTGGCATTTCTTATGTTTAATTAATTGGTTTGACCGTTCCATTTAAAAACGGTCAAGGATTTTTTTTTATGCTTAGACACTTTAAATATTATGGTTCTCAGAGGCTTTTAGGTGGTTCTTATAACACTAATAATGTTTCTGATGATAAAACTTCTATGTCTGAAATTGTAAAGAGATTCTATAACAATGAACCTATCCCCGAGGATATGCAGACTAAAAATTATGAGTATGGTAATGAAGTTACTGCTTTAGATGATGGTAATACTTTTGACCCTCTTACACGTGAAGTTTCTGCGCCCGATGGTTCTGTTATTCGTGTTGATTTATCTGCCCCTGATATTTTATCTCAGATTCCTATCACACCTAATTTGGATTATGTAGACCCTATGTTAGGTATTAATGAATGTGGTCAGGATATAGAAACTCTTTATCAGAATGCTAACTGAACGTGCTCGTTTCTATGGTGTCGTGGTTATCAGTTGGAAAAAATCTGCTCAGGGAAGACGCAAAAATTAAGGCAAGCATTGAACTTGCTAAACAGAAAGGTTTTATTTCTGAGGAAAAAGTTCCTGTTAATAATCCTTCTGTTTCTGATACTTCTCAGTAGTTTTATTATTAAGGCTCTCATAAAACGTGAGAGCCTTTTTTTATTGTTGTATTAATTATCTAAGCGCTTAGGAAAATTAGCAAAGCGGTGTTTTCCAAGCGCAACATTCCTATACAAAAAAACTAGTTATATAAAATTCGATTAGACAAAACTTGTGCCTACTACCTTGTTAAATATAGGCACAAGTGACACAAAATGATGTGAGGTAAGATATTGAAAGTACTATACAATATGGAGCAGTTTTTCTAAAATTAAAAATTATTGGAATAGTAGTAAAAATCGTTATTTGCCATTTAAAATGGATTTAATGATGTTTATATAATTTAATTAGATTTAGAAAGACCCTTGACAGATTCGGAAATATATGATAAATGTATTCTTGAACGACAACTTTGGTCAAGGTTGTTTTCTATGTGTATTTATGATTATCTTTCTAAGGAGGTTTATTATGGAAGATGAAAAAAAGAAGTTCCCTGTTATTAAGTTTATTAAGGCAGTGGTTGAGTTCGTTATTGTTATTATTAAACTCTTTCGTATTGATGACGAAGAAGAAATAAAGAAATAACATAATTTTATTTGACATATAATCTAGTATATGCTAGATTATATGTATATTGATTTATAAGAGGTTTGATATGAAATATTATCAGATTGTTAGTAATAAAGCGTTATTCTAATGTTTTATGTTCTGGTCTTTTTTAGTTCGTTTGAACGTGCTAAAAAAGTGGCTAAAGAAAATGGTTTTTAAACGTTTTATTATTGTGGAGGTTATGTTGTGACATATTTTCGTGTATTATTTAATGACGGTCGTCACGATATATGTTTTGAAAGTCCTGAATGGTTAGGACTTTATATGTGTGGTTGATGTCTATGCCGAAGGTGTTCAGGATATTGTTGTTGAGACAGTAGACTTGACGGAAGTTTCTGACCATTGGATGCGTAATAATGGCATGTTGGGTTAGAACTAAAAAAGAGTGTGAGTTTTTTGAACAGATAAGCAAGGAATATCTTCCTCGTGTTCCTATTCTTTATAGGTTATAATACTGAGCGTCAATGGGCTTGGGATTATGTTGATGGTGTTCATCATGTAATTGATTTTAAAGATGGTTGTAAGATTAAACTTATGCCTATAGAAAAGATTACTGATGATTTTGATGATGTTGAGGAGAAATTAGATGAAATCTACTGTAAAAAAGTTTCCTATTTATAAGTTATATCGTATTAAGATTGATTCAATGAAAGCTGAATATCTTAATTTATTTTATATGGATTATTTAAAGGCTTATAGGTTTTGTTGTGAAAAAAATAGTCAACCCCTTGATTTGGATAATCCTGATTCGTTGTATTATTATTTTTATGTAAAGGAGGACTAAATAGTAATGGCTAAATTTAGTGTTAATTGGAAGCCTCAATTTACTAATCCTTTTTCATGGTCTTGATAAGGTTGTAAAATCTGCAAAAAAATTGTTGTCTGGTGACATTTTGGGAGGTGCTGCAACCGCTCTTGGATTAAAGGATGATGAGGATAAGGCTTTAGAGGCTCAGGAAAAGGCTCTTGCTGAGCAAAAAGATTATCAGAATAAGCAACTTGAAATTGCTCAGAAAAATATTGATAATGTTTTCTGAAATGAATAAGGCTAGACATTGCCTCTCAGGAACGTATTAATCAGGAAAATATTAATTGGGCTCGTCAGTTAAATAATATTGAAATGGCTCGTGCTGATTCTGCTCATCAACGTGAAGTTGCTGATATGCGTAAGTCTGGTTTAAGTCCTTTTGCCTCTATGAATGGTGCTGATATTGGTACTTTTACTACTCCTACTCTTAATGCTCCACTAAATGATATTGCTTCTGTTGAAAGTTCTCTTAATAATATGTCTTCCGCTCTTGGTAATCAGGCTTCTTTAGTTGCTCAGAATAGACAGCAATCTATGGATTATGCTCTTGGTATGCTTTCTTTTGCTCAGGGTGAGGCAAAATTAAAACATCAAAAAGATTATGATAATAACTGAGAAGTCTCAATAGCCTCAGTAGAAACTTTAATTTCACGTTCTGAAAGAACTTTTTCCCAATCAAACTGAATAGGAACATCAGCAATTAATTTACATTCATCCATATCAAACTTGCCAAGAATCCACCATGTAACAGGCTCATATTCTCCAACATCTTTATAAAACTTCTGAATACTTTTAGCAATAGCATATTCAGTCTGAGCACAATAAGGAAGTCCACAAAGTCCGTCAGAATTTTTCATAGTATACATAATCATTTCAAGTTTTTTCATTTTCTACCTCTTTTAATATTTTCAACTTGTTTTGCGTAATTTTCATCAGTATCAACCATACCACACATAATATTATTACGAATCTTTTCACGTTCTAATTTGAACCTATTTTTATCAGCAATAGTATAAGGCGAACATAAATCCAATACACGCATATAATAAGGGTTAAGATTCATCTCAATACCTCCAAGCCTAGGTAATTTTCCGTCTTTATCTGAACGTGTTTTTAAATATTCCGTTCCAAGTTTTACCGAATGAAGAACTTGAGGTTTTTCTATACCCATTATTCTACAATATTTATACAGATTATCAGTATCAAGTTTTTCAACATACTTCGTTACATAACGTATCATACGAGAATCTTGTAAACTGACATCAGTTCCAAAATTTAACAAGCCTTTCTTCCAAAAAGGACTAAAACAATTTTTAGTGTTATGACTTGCAATTTTAATTTTACTAGGTAATAAATCATTATAATCTATCCCAAGGATAAGTAAATGCGCATGGGGTCTACCTAAACCACCATACTCAGTACAACTAAAATGTGCTAACTCAAGTTTTTTACCTCCATGATATTCATAATATCTTCTAATACGTTTTATAAATTTACTCACATCAGAAGAAGAACAAGAACAATTATTAGGCAAATGATTATCATCATAAGTAAGAGTAACAAAAGCAATTTTAGTATGTTTCTTACTTTCGGCAAGAAGTCGATATGTCCATTCTCTGATACGATTATCAATACAATTAATACAATGCCTACAAGGAACAAATATCTTTTCTCCTTTTTTACCGTTCCTATAATACCGTTTCATAGGGTCATCAGAATTAGGTGCCAAAGGAACAGGATATAAGCAAGTCATGGCTTAACAGTATTAACAACATTAGTAACAGTATTAGTTAATCCAAAAATAGAACTAATAACAGTTCTAACAACGTCAAGACGATATTTCTTTTTATCAAGACCCATTTCATTTAATAATCTTTCAACCTGAGCATCAGTCAAAACACCCTGTTTATGAAGATTTTCACGTTCAATATACAATAAACCATTACGCATATTTTGACCGCTAATTTGAGAAATAGTATAAGCCAAATCCTGACATTTTTGATTATACTGGACTTCCAACATTCGTTCTTTATACTCAAAATCCTTTTGTTCTGACTGATAAGCCAACTGAGAACGATTATTAGAAATCATTAAAGAATCATTTGTAATAGCCTGATTAGAAACTTCAAGAGCACGAATCTTAACATCATAAGAATGTAATTCCTTAGCACGTTCTTCCTGACTAATAGAATTGTCACTCTCAATACGAGCACGTTCAGTCTGAATCTGAGTATAAGCATTGTTAATAGCGTCACGTTTAGCCTGTAAATCAAACTGACTTTTAGCAAGTTCAACCATTTGATTATCATAATCTTTTTGATGTTTTAATTTTGCCTCACCCTGAGCAAAAGAAAGCATACCAAGAGCATAATCCATAGATTGCTGTCTATTCTGAGCAACTAAAGAAGCCTGATTACCAAGAGCGGAAGACATATTATTAAGAGAACTTTCAACAGAAGCAATATCATTTAGTGGAGCATTAAGAGTAGGAGTAGTAAAAGTACCAATATCAGCACCATTCATAGAGGCAAAAGGACTTAAACCAGACTTACGCATATCAGCAACTTCACGTTGATGAGCAGAATCAGCACGAGCCATTTCAATATTATTTAACTGACGAGCCCAATTAATATTTTCCTGATTAATACGTTCCTGAGAGGCAATGTTAGCCTTATTCATTTCAGAAACATTATCAATATTTTTCTGAGCAATTTCAAGTTGCTTATTCTGATAATCTTTTTGCTCAGCAAGAGCCTTTTCCTGAGCCTCTAAAGCCTTATCCTCATCATCCTTTAATCCAAGAGCGGTTGCAGCACCTCCCAAAATGTCACCAGACAACATTTTTTTTGCAGATTTTACAACCTTATCAAGACCTGAAAAAGGATTAGTAAATTGAGGCTTCCAATTAACACTAAATTTAGCCATTACTATTTAGTCCTCCTTTACATAAAAATAATAATACAACGAATCAGGATTATCCAAATCAAGGGGTTGACTATTTTTTTCACAACAAAACCTATAAGCCTTTAAATAATCCATATAAAATAAATTAAGATATTCAGCTTTCATTGAATCAATCTTAATACGATATAACTTATAAATAGGAAACTTTTTTACAGTAGATTTCATCTAATTTCTCCTCAACATCATCAAAATCATCAGTAATCTTTTCTATAGGCATAAGTTTAATCTTACAACCATCTTTAAAATCAATTACATGATGAACACCATCAACATAATCCCAAGCCCATTGACGCTCAGTATTAAACCTATAAAGAATAGGAACACGAGGAAGATATTCCTTGCTTATCTGTTCAAAAAACTCACACTCTTTTTTAGTTCTAACCCAACATGCCATTATTACGCATCCAATGGTCAGAAACTTCCGTCAAGTCTACTGTCTCAACAACAATATCCTGAACACCTTCGGCATAGACATCACCACACATATAAAGTCCTAACCATTCAGGACTTTCAAAACATATATCGTGACGACCGTCATTAAATAATACACGAAAATATGTCACAACATAACCTCCACAATAATAAAACGTTTAAAACCATTTTCTTTAGCCACTTTTTTAGCACGTTCAAACGAACTAAAAAGACCAGAACATAAAACATTAGAATAACGCTTTATTCTAACAATCTGATAATATTTCATATCAAACCTCTTATAAATCAATATACATATAATCTAGCATATACTAGATTATATGTCAAATAAAATTATGTTATTTCTTTATTTCTTCTTCGTCATCAATACGAAAGAGTTTAATAATAACAATAACGAACTCAACCACTGCCTTAATAAACTTAATAACAGGGAACTTCTTTTTTTCATCTTCCATAATAAACCTCCTTAGAAAGATAATCATAAATACACATAGAAAACAACCTTGACCAAAGTTGTCGTTCAAGAATACATTTATCATATATTTCCGAATCTGTCAAGGGTCTTTCTAAATTAATTAAATTATTAAACATCATTAAATCCATTTTAAATGGCAAATAACGATTTTTACTACTATTCCAATAATTTTTAATTTTAGAAAACTGCTCCATATTGTATAGTACTTTCAATATCTTACCTCACATCATTTTGTGTCACTTGTGCCTATATTTAACAAGGTAGTAGGCACAAGTTTTGTCTAATCGAATTTTATATAACTAGTTTTTTGTATAGGAATGTTGCGCTTGGAAAACACCGCTTTGCTAAATTTTCCTAAGCGCTTAGATAATTATACAACAATTAAAAAAGGCTCTCACGTTTTATGAGAGCCTTAATAATAAAACTACTGAGAAGTATCAGAAACAGAAGGATTATTAACAGGAACTTTTTCCTCAGAAATAAAACCTTTCTGTTTAGCAAGTTCAATGCTTGCCTTAATTTTTGCGTCTTCCTGAGCAGATTTTTCCAACTGATAACCACGAACCATAGAACGAGCACGTTCAGTAGCATTCTGATAAAGAGTTTCTATATCCTGACCACATTCATTAATACCTAACATAGGGTCTACATAATCCAAATTAGGTGTGATAGGAATCTGAGATAAAATATCAGGGGCAGATAAATCAACACGAATAACAGAACCATCGGGCGCAGAAACTTCACGTGTAAGAGGGTCAAAAGTATTACCATCATCTAAAGCAGTAACTTCATTACCATACTCATAATTTTTAGTCTGCATATCCTCGGGGATAGGTTCATTGTTATAGAATCTCTTTACAATTTCAGACATAGAAGTTTTATCATCAGAAACATTATTAGTGTTATAAGAACCACCTAAAAGCCTCTGAGAACCATAATATT